TTTTTTTTTCCCCTTCTTGGCTAATCCGTGCACTGCTAGGTCTCAAGACAGGATTTACCTTCAGCGCAACAATGTTCGGCGCCATCTTCGGCTACGGCATTATCACCCTGTTCACAAAGCTTCTTCCGGGCGTTCCTTTTTCGGAACCAAGTTCGGTCCCCAGGAGAACTCCATCGTCCAGGCCGCGGCCACGGGAGCCGGTGGCATGGCCGGCGTGTTCGTTGCTGGTTTGCCAGCCATGTACCGCATGGGCTTCCTTTCCGAGGATCCCAAGTCCGACTTCCCCCGAACCCTGGCCATCACCATGGTCTGCGCCTTCTTTGGCCTCTTTGCCGCCGTGCCGCTTCGCAAATTCTTCATCATCGACCTGGCAAGAGAGCTAAGCCTAGTTTTCCCCACCCCAGCGGCCACTGCCTTGGCCATCCGGTCCATGCATGCGGTAGGGTCGGGCGCACATGATGCTACGAGGAGGATCAAAGCTCTCGGCTTCTCGTTTCTCGGCGCCTTGACACATATTTTTGTTTCTCAATACGCCAATGGAATACTCCATGAGTGGCACCTCTTCACTTGGTGTACGCCTGGTTTGTCTTCCTCCCCTCTTTCTTCTTTTTTTCCCCTTAATATATTGGAGAGCCCGCCCTAACACGGGGTCGCTAGGAGCGGATACACCAACTGGGCCATCAATATTGAGAGCTGCGGCCGGTATATCCAACTGACGCCTGCATTCTTTGGCTCCGGTGTTCTGGTCGGTCTCAATGCCGCCCTTTCTTGGTTTCTCGGCACCGTGGCTGCTTGGGGCCTGATCGGCCCTCTGCTGGTGCACTACGGCGAATGCGCCGGCGAACAGGTCGGTCAAGGCAAGTGGGCGGAATTGACCAGTTTCAACAAGTTGAACGACATCAACAAGCCCGGGTTCGTCCCTTCGCCTCGTTATTGTTTGCTGTGACCCGGTGTCATGGTTCTCCTCGCGTCCAGCCTGGTCGAGATCTTGCTTCACATCCGCGTCGTCTGGGACGGCGTCAAGTACGCCTTGCGGTCCATGGCCTGGTCGGTCCACGGGAGACTCAAGTCCCAGGGCAGGAGATGACCTTCTTGGAGAAGCAAGCCGCCAAGTTCGAGGGGGACTCAAGCCTCCCCCTGGACTTTGCGCCTTCGGAGCACCAAGTCCCTGGCTGGATCTGGGGCCCCGGCACCGCGGTCATGGTTGTCGTGTCCTGTCTCGTCTGTCACTTCCAGTTCGACATGAATGCCGGGCTTGCGATTCTAGCCTGCTTGCTCGGGATCGTCTTTGCCTTCCTCAGCATCCCTTCCTCAGCATCTACGGCGGCGGCGTGACCGACACGGCGCCCCTGACGGCATCATCAAAGGCCTCGCAGTTGGTGTACGGCGGCATCACCAAGGGCAATTACCGGGTCGCCGACGCACAGCGAATCAATCTCATTGCCGGCAACATTGCCTCTGGCTGTGCAGACGTTTCCAACAGCTTGGTTTGCGACTTTCGTGTGGGGTTTCTCCTCAAGACCCCTCCCAAGTACCAATTCTACGCCCAGGCCCTGGGAGCCCTGGGAGCCCTGGTCTCGGTCTTTCTGGCCCCGGGAATATTCGTCCTCTTCATGTCCGCATACCCATGTGTATGGCGGACCGACCTGTCAAACGAAGAGGTGCTGCGATGCCCCTTCAAGGCCCCCTCGGTGGTGGCGTGGCAGGCCGTTGCGCAGGCCGTCACGGCACCCAAGATTCCCATTCCTCTCTCTTGCACCATCTTCTCCATTGCCATGGGGGCTGTTTCCTCCCTGCAGGCGGTGGTCAAGAACCTTTATCTGGTGGGGTCTCGTGAGTAGTACCGCAATCACCTGCCCAATTGGATGGCCGTGGGAGTGGCCTGGGTTTTGGGTGCGGACAGTGGCTACGCCAATGCCATTTTATTCGGCAGCGTCACGGCGTGGTGGTGGAAGAAGTACTTTGGCACGAACTTTGACACGTACGCCTTCTCTGTCGCCGCGGGCCTGATAGCTGGCGAAGGTTTGGGAGGCGTCGTCAACACTGTGCTGACACTCGGGGGCGTTGATGGCCTCATCAAGGGCACTCTTCTCGGGCTGCCCGGCGAGGATTGGTGATGTGACCAAGGACGACGTGTGGGAATACGATGCAACATTGCATAGCTACACACTGAAACCGTCGCAGTGGCCTTAAGGGCAAGTTGCCCGTGGATTCTCCAAAACGGACGAAAAGAAAGGGCAGCCTCCCGTAGTCGGGCAGTTGAGCACCGGGCCCCGGCCGACGTCGGGGGGGCGTCCGCATTTGCCCCTCTCAAGACGAGGAGGTTATTGTGCCTCCTTCATCCCGGCCAAGCCGCGATTGCTTATCAATCACTCCGGACCCTTCTTCAGGTCCTCGCAGCGACTCGGCTGCGCTGCGGTCGCCGCCCGAGTCCATGTGGATGGAAATGCTCGTCAGCCGAGAGACGGAGCATGGCTAGGGAGGAGACGGAGTCACTGGCAAGGCGGAACCTGAAGCGTGTGTGTGCGCTGGTGCAACTCACGACGCGCCAATCAAGAACCGTCAAGGTGTCGACGACATCTCTTCACCGGACTGGAGAAAGTAAGCGACAGCAACCCCATCCGGTACCGGCCAGCGGTGACGAGTCCTCGGAGTTCATGTTGGGATCCGCCGCGAAAATTCAGGAGACGGCCAGATCCCCCGGCGTCGGAGGAAACCACTTGTCATGTTGACGCATCATGCCGCCCCGTCTTGGTCATCAATCAAACTGATGACTACGAGCCAAAGGCGACGCGGAACTGGCGGCTGCTCGATCGCGGTGACGACAACTGGTGGGTCTTGGCTGCGCTATCCAAGCTCAGGATCCAGATTGACTTCTTCAAAGCCAAGCGCTTCCTCGGTAGAAGCTGCGAGCTCAACCCCCTCTCTGCTAGTTCCTCCTGCCCCCTCCTTCTCGTACTTCATAATAATTGAGTTCTCGCCCTCCTCGCCCCCCTCTTCCTCCTCCTTCAGTCCAACACAGTTCACGCTCTAGCCTTGCGCCCTCATCGTCCTCGTCTTCATCGCCCGTTAACCTCTACTTCCATCGCATAAGCCAGATACGCACGGCCTATTCTTCACCATGCCTGTCTCAGCCCCCAAGGCCGACCGCCTCACCGACCTCTTTAGCCTCAAGGGCAAGGTTGTCGTGGTGACGGGCGCGTCGGGTCCTCGCGGAATGGGCATCGAGGCCGCTCGCGGGTGTGCGGAGATGGGCGCCGATGTCGCCATAACCTACTCGTCACGCAAGGAGGGCGCCGAGAAGACGTCGAGGAGCTGACCAAAGAGTATGGGGTCAAGGTCAAGGCTTACAAGCTCAACGTCAGCAGTTACGATGACGTTGAGCGTTGTGTCAAGGAGATTGTGGGTGACTTTGGCAAGATTGATGGCTTCATTGCCAAGTAGGTCCAGCCCAAAATCTTTGAACCCCCCCTCGCCCTTGGTGCAAAGCCCAAGAAGGGACGACCGCACGGTGCTGACGCCATGAATAGCGCCGGGGCCACGGCCGACGCTGGCGTGATTGAGGGGAGCGCGGCTTCCTGGGACAAGGTGATTCAGATCGACCTCAACGGCACCGCGTACTGCGCCAAGGCGGTTGGCGCTCTCTTCAAGAAGCAGGGCAGCGGCTCCTTTGTCATCACGGCGTCCATGTCTGGACACATTGCAAACTTTCCTCAGGAGCAAACATCGTACAACGTTGCCAAGGCCGGCTGCATTCACATGGCTCGCTCCCTGGCAAACGAGTGGCGCGACTTTGCACGAGTCAACTCCATCTCGCCCGGCTACATCGACACTGGCCTCTCGGACTTTATCGACCCGCAGACGCAGGAGCTCTGGCGTTCCATGATCCCCCTCGGCCGCAACGGTCTGGCCAAGGAGCTCAAGGGTGCATATGTCTACCTGATTTCCGATGCCAGCACATACACAACCGGAGCTGACCTCGTCATCGACGGCGGATACACTTGCCGATGAGCGGAACGCGCCGGGCGCAGAGTGTGGCGGTAAACCGGGACACGTGTGCAGCGTAAAAAGGAAAGAATAGAGAAGCAAAAGTAAACGACCCTTGTGCTCTTTGCAACCGTGGTTCGCCAGGAAGCAGCCCACGCCTCGCCGCGGACAAGGTGTAAAGCTGGTGTCGAACTGCCGTGACTGCCGGATTGTCCCTCGTGCTCCACGAGACCCGGGGCTCATTGACCGGACGAGTTGATGAGAGGTCTAGCACCTACCGAGCACAGAAGTTCTAGTAAAACAGAGTTACCTCGTGCAGGGCAAGGTCGATTGTAATCCTGAATGGACGCTGTAGTACGACGTACTTTGGTGCATAGTCTTGTATTGTTGTGGGACCTGTGGTCAGAGGCAAGAGACAGAGTATCCGAAAAATCCAAATCACTCGCTTACACTCGACTATTGCTGTCCTACTCGGTACGAGTATGTGATGCATTCCGTACGCCGTGGATTTGCAACATGTTGGTGCCTGTCTATGTCCGAAAACAAAGCTCGGCCAGAGATGGCGTCGAGCTGGGAGGTGACTGACGATGTTGCCCACCCTAGACACGGCGGCACTAGCATAGGAACCCAGGCTTTGAGAAATGATAAGTGAGTAGCGTACATGGGTTCCTCATGAGGAACAGGAGGAGTTTATGTAAGTACTCCGTACGGAGTACTGAGGGTCAACTTGGCTGGGAGATGAACCCCTACAAGTCTACCCCTGGGACTGGGACGGAGGGCCGAGGCCACGCCACGCAGGCCCAGCCTATTCACAACTCGTTGGCAGTTGGGCCCCTTTCCAAATTCGCACGACAGCAGTTGAAAGCAGCTGGCTGCGGCCAAGATCAGCGAGCCCATTGACATGGCAACATGGCAACCGGGCACTGAGCACGTACTCCGCAGTCGAGGGGTATATTCTCAGCGCACTGTAGTAGTTTCATCTGCTATTGCTGCATGTGTCCATTACGTACGCAATGGCACCTTTTATCTGTCCTATCCCAAGCGGCATGTGCAGCAGAACCGGAGACAATGACCATGTCCGAGATTTCTGCACAGCGTCTCGTACTCCGTTGCTGGCTGACTAGCGTCGTCCAAGCGCAGCAGCAGGACGAATAGAGTTTGGCCAACGACGACCCTCCTCGATCTGGGAGTGCAGACGGTGGCGTAATCTGCATCCAGAAGATGGAGAATGGAGCGGGCGCACCGGGAAATTGTGCTTACGATGGGGGCGTCTGGGCAAATTGGTGACACGTCACTTTTTCATCCCAGCGAAGCACGCCGCCCCTGCCTTACTCGGTGTGACATACATAATCCGTCTGTATAGTTAGCATGTACTCCGTAGTAACTACGTAGCACGGAGTACGGAGTACATACCATCGGCCTCTAACGACGTTTCATCGAGAGCACAGCTTGTTGGTAGAACACGTGAATCGTGGCAAAAGCCATGACCAACCTGCCGAGTACGACCACGTACAGCTTGACGTACATGCGCATGTATACTCAGTACATTAAGTGTCAAGTGTGGGACGCCAACGCCGACGATGACACCATGTAATGCAGAGTCCCAGCCGTTTGGGGCGGGATTTCTAGCCGCGCACTCCGTACGCGGTACTGAGTAGCGAGAGAAGTCAACATCATAACATGGCATCCGTTCCGCATCCTACAAAGAGATGTGCCAGTCTTGCTGGCCCTGTAAATGGTTGTTATCTCGGCCTGCAAGCCGCCTTGTTGGTCCGGCCCTGGAAGACACACAGGCCTGGGCCCATATGGCATTTGGCGTGCAGACTACAGA